AAAATAAAATAACATAAAATAAAATAAAATAAAATAAAATAAAATAAAATGAAAGTAGTTATGAAAAACAAAAACAAACAAACAAAAAAACTGTACTTATGGTTGCAATTATCAGTTCGGATCAACACAAGACTTCACAACTTTTTCCTATTTTTACACCTTATAACCTAGACTGGAGATAAAATGCAAGCACTGTGTGAGAGAGAATGCCAGGGTTGAAATTCTGACTCCCACATTAAAAAGTGTTTTACCACGTTCAGTTACTTAACCTTTCTGGGTCAGAATTTCCTGTGTGTGTAATAACTTGTTTCACAGGAAATACAGGTAAAATTCTTAGCAGAGTTCCTGGCATATAATACAAGCCCATCACCATTATTACCTTCACAACATAGTTGGGGAGAAACAGGAAAAGAATTATCTTATATATTAGGAAGGATAAATTCAGAGTTAAAGTAATATGTACAAAATCACCTAGCTGGTGAGAATTATGACAGGGGTTAGGAAAGCCATGCTTATTAATCTTTAGCCCAGTACTCTTTAGCATGTACCTCTGGGTAAGTCTACTACACTACTTCAAAACCTGCCCTCTGTTGACACTCTGACATTATCACAATATAACATAAGTACATGAAAATTTTCAAATACCATGAATAAGTTAATATCCTGCTTAAATCAATAATTAATGGTAAGTAGCAAACACCAAAATTACAATGAGATGTAGATGCTAGGTGGTTAATTAGACAAAACATCAGCTATGTTATCTACATTTACATAAATATAACGCATATAACTCAAATTTGTGCATAAGCAGAATTTTAAAATACTACATACATGTCATGGAATTTTGGGTTTATGCACAAATAATTACAAATAAATTATACAGGCCTACGATTGTATCAGTTGAATGGAGGCACTGAGAAGCAGTTCTAAATGCAGCAAAAATGGAAACAGGGGTTCCAAATTCTCCTCACTACTGTTCTCAGTGAGGTGGAATGAACAGCCAGCTCATTCTGGTTGTTTAGAACCAACTGTTATATTTTTGGAATTTTGCATGACAGTGGTTGAAACACAAGAATAATTAAAAAATGAAGTTCTATAAATTAATAACTAAAAAAATATTTTAAAAACAAAAATAAATCCTTAAAACTCATAATTCTTATTTATTTTCAATATTTTATTACTACCTGTGCTCTTGAGATACTACATAATGGGATGCTATTGTAAATCTCTTCCCAATCCACATTAGTTGCCTGCAATAGGTCAAGTGGGAGTATTCACGCCACGGAAATCAGTAAATGCAACACATCAGGACTGTCCTCCCTTACCTCCCCCAGTCTGAGAGTCAGTACGGCCACTGACCAAAACAACACTGCCTTAAAATTACGGGTCAGCCAACTCTTCTTGTAGGCTTTACCAGTGTTTTACAAACCCAATTTTAAAAGGTAGGTACCAAGAAAGGAGGAAAATGTATCTTTAAAATGCTGGCAACCTTAACACCCTTTGAAGTCACTTGTTTTTTTCCCCAACAATCCCTCCAAATGTCCAAATGTTCTCCAACAGAACCATACATGTAGGTTTCCTGCTTGTTTTAAGAGAAAACTGTGGTCAGGTTAATCTTGCTTTTAAAATAAAATTAAAAATTATCATAATCAAACAAGAGGAAATAAATAATAAAGAAAAGAATGCTAACTTCTCATCATGAGACATTAATTGAATAAACAAGTTAATAAAAGAAATGCCTGCCTGTGGGAGGCAGCTGTCCACTCTCTGACGGCAGTGGCAGGAATGAGGTGAGGGCACCAGGAGGGGAAGTCAGAGTTCAAGAGCACGGTGCCTTGAGGGCCCTGGAGGTCAGGGTAAAGACCCCGGCTTTCTTTCTGCTATTATTACTTTGACATCATTTTTGACTTCAAGAAAAACTGCCAGAAGAGTTAACCATAGTTTTAAATCACTTAAAACTACCAACAGATGTTAGTAGCAAAAGAGTAATACTGACATAAAAATTCCCAGGAGGGAGGTGGAGCCAAGATGGCAGCATGAGTAGAGCAGCGGAAATCTCCTCCCAAAACCACATATATTTATGAAAATATAACAAAGACAACTCTTCCTAGAAGAGAGACCAGAAGACACAGGACAACATCCAGACCACATCCAGACCACATCCACACCTGCAAGAACCCAGCGCCTCACGAAGAGGGTAAGATACAAGCCCCAGCCCGGCGGGACCTGAGCGCCCCACACCCCAGCTCCAGGTGGGAGGAGAGGAGTCCAAGCGGGGAGGGAGAGGGAGCCCAGGACTGCTAAACACCCAGCCCTAGCCATCCACACCAGAGCGCAGACACAGTGCATGCGTGGGGTCCTGGATACTAGGGAAACAGGACAGTAAGACCTGTGAGTGGGTCCCTGCGGCTGGCGCCCTGGGGACAAAGAAAAGCGAGTGCTTTTTGGAAGTCTTAAAGGGACAGGGATCCCACAGCCGGACAGAAGTGTCCTGGGACACTTAGTCCAGCAGCAGGGAATCTGGGGAACTCTGGGCACTCTAACCCCCTGGGCAGCAGGGAGCACGGAGGCCCCTCACAGAGATAAATAGCCTCCCAGATGCTCCCCCTCCAACATGGCTCCACCATATCGGAGCAGCAGCCAGAGGCAGGCCACGCCCAGAGCAACAGCGGAGATAAACTCTATAGCAGCCGGGCAGGAATCAGAAGCCCTGCCTACGCGCAGCTGCTCAGCATAAGCCACTAGAAGTCGCTGTTCTCCCAGGACAGGAAGGTCACAAACCAAAAAGAAGGAAAGTTCTTCCAGCTGTCACTTGTGCCAGCTCTGCAAACTATCTCTATCACCATGAAAAGGCAAAATTTCAGGCAGACAAAGATAACAGAGACAACACTTGAGAAGGAGACAGACCTAACCAGTCTTCCTGAAAAAGAATTCAAAATAAAAATCATAAACATGCTGATGGAGATGCAGAGAAATATACAAGAGCTAAGGGATGAAGTCCGGAGGGAGATTACAGACGCCCGGAAAGAGATTACAGAAGTGAAACAAACTCTGGAAGGATTTATGAGCAGAATAGATAAGATGCAAGAGGCCATTGATGGAATAGAAACCAGAGAACAGCAACGCATAGAAGCTGACACAGAGAGAGATAAAAGGATCTCCAGGAATGAAACAATATTAAGAGAACTGTGTGACCAATCCAAAAGGAACAGTATCCGTATTATAGGGGTACCATTAGAAGAGAGAGAAAAAAAGGGATAGAAAGTGTCTTTGAAGAAACAATTGCTGAAAAATTCCCCAAACTGGGGGAGGAAATAATCGAACAGACCACAGAAATACACAGAACTCCCAACAGAAAGGACCCAAGGAGG